TACATAAGTATGTATTGCAAACTCTTAGGCATATTATATGTGCCCAACAAAGCCAATGTAGTTTCCAAAAGATGCTAATTCTTTCTTTCTACGACTCCATTTTGTTTCGGAGTAAGTATGAGGACAAGTGCGTTGAGAAACAATCCTTTATTTTTGAAAATCTCAACAAGATTCGTCTTAGTGTACTCTCCTCCAGAATCAAAACAAAATATTTTTATAGGTTTATGAAATTGTGTATACAGATACTAAACAAAATTCATAATAAGAGTCGGAACCTCAGATTTATTTCAAATAAAAAAACACTTATGTGTATCTAGATACATGATCAATAATTAAGATAAAGTACTTATATCCCATCCTTGACAAAATAGGAGAAGGACCCCAAACAATACTATGAATCAAATCAAACAGATCATCATAAGAAGATGAACTAGATGGAAAATGGAGTTTGTGAGTTTTTGAACCGGCACAATTAGAATATGTCAGAGGGAGACTGGAATGAATGTCATGTATTGCTGGAAGGCATGATTTGAGCATGTGTTGAAGTCGAGAGGAATGAGTATGACCCACCCTATTATGCCAAAGAGTGAGCAACTTATTCGAGCGAGTAACATCCACGCAAAATCTAAAAGAAAACAATGATGCAAATCATGATGAACTGACTTTAAAAGAAACATTTTGCCAACACTACATCCCTTGGCCATGGTCATCCCGATTTTCAGATTCTGAACAACACAATCATTGGGTGAGAATTTTACAACACAATTTTGATCAACTAGCTGACCTACCAAAAAAAAATTAGCCTTCAAATTAGGTACATAAAGAACATTAGACAAATTTCCAACAGAACCAATACCTGAGGCGGGCAATATATGCTTGTTTGCCATATGAATAACATGTTTAGAAACATCATCATACACTGAAGAAAATTGGGACAGATCTCCGGTGATATGATTGGAAGCACCCGAATTCAGATACCAAGTAGATTTAATAGAATTACTTGTACCTAAGGATACCGAGAGTGCACTTGAGATGGCTCCGGAAAGGGCTGCTACTATAGAATCTTGAATCAGCCTTTCAAGATCATGTCCAAAAGGGAAGGAACCAACTGATTTATTGACATCCGTCTGGTATGCTTCGTGAACGATTTGGACGACGACGATAAACTGAAATATGATGACCAGTAATCTTATAGTAAGCACAAAACCTTTTCTTCTTAGGAAAATTGACTGCTATGTGATCAAAGTCGTTGCATTCATAGCACTGGACACTTCTCTTAGTATTTCCTGATGAAGTATCGATCGTTGATTTTTGTGCAAGTAATGCAACAACTAGTAATGACATCGACTCTATGGCCGCCTGAGTTCCAAGCCTAGTCTCTTCACGCAAGACGATTGCCAACTCAACATCAAGAGAAGGTGTGACTTCTCTATTCAACAAACTACCATGAATCGACTCGAATTCACGTCGGAGTTTCATCAAGAACTGTACCACTCTTGTCCTTTGTTGTTCTCCCAGCACTTCTTTGAGCCCTGTCGTAGATATATTTCACCGAGAAATTTGATCTTGTTCAGACCAGAGCAGCTGCAAAACAACATTAAAGGAACGAACATTCTTGTCCCATGTGTGTATTCGGCAATGTTGCGTTCCACTTCAAACTCTCGTGCTAGATTGTTTTGTTGGTAGACGTTACGCAAGTGGGGCCACATCTCTGAATAAATGGTCTAAGTCTCATAGCAATGTCAGCATGTACCGAATTCAACATCCAAGCGATTAACTTCGCATTATTCAAATTCCAGCGATCCAACTCTTTTTCATCTGTTGGCAGACCAGCATAGCCATCTAACCACCCAAAAAGGCCCTTTCCTTTGAACAAAAATTCCAAAGTGGAATTCCCATAGAGAAAAATTGGAACCATCCAATTTTGTGGAGATCAAATCGTGCGAGGATGATTGTGAATTCATTGAGTAGATAAAATACAACAGAGAAAGAGAAAAAAAAGGGACAGATGCATGTGCAGAGAAAACAAAGAGACAAAAGGAACGCAGAAAGGTAACAAGGTACCTGTGTAGAGAAAGCAAAGAGCACGGTTTTTTTTTATTTATAAATGATGGCTCTTGATACCATGCTAGTAAGACATAAGATATTCTGAAAATAGTTTTCTCTATTCCTCCATGATACAGTAGAAAGCAAATATTTATAACTATACAATTGGTTCTATTCTAGGAAGAAGTATATATGGTTATAATTGTATATTCTATAAATCAATCCTATTCTAAGAAATAATACATTTTCTGATTACTATACAATTATAGTTTTTCCTTAACACTTTTGTCGTTTGTTTTTTATTTCTTAACACCAACACGATAACTCACGTTCTCCATTGAAAGCTCTACCCCGACTCAAGCAACTCAACTATATCCCCTTATATTGATGATGGTATCAAAGTTGTTAAACTCAACGGGAAGGAACTAGAACAGCAAAAACGAAAATGGGATTGTACTTTAGTTGGCAAGAACCCACAATTTAATTAAATAGATGTTGAAATTTGTCTAGCTTATTCAGAATTTTATGTCTACACTGAGGGTTTTATTGCATGAAGAGGGATACTACGTACTGACATCATACTGTGGTTTGAAAATTAACATGACAACAACATTTCCTTATACATCGATCGATAGTGCTGAAGAGAAATGGACTTGTAATTTCCAGATGACTATAAAATCTATCAGGAAAATGCCTTCCGAGGCCTGCTTATCAAATAACCAAAAGGTTGACTGAGGATTCACTAGAAAAATCAAAATGTGATACTTATAAATATTCTCAATTGGTGCATTAATGTTATATATGTTGAAGAGAGTGTATATTCTTTCACTTGCCATATGACTTTTGTTTATGGTTTCAATTTATTTTTTTTAAAAAAAAGTTATACACAGTTTCATCAAAACACTACAAGCCCGTTTGGTTGCTAAGGGTAAACACAACAAAAGGATATTGATTATGAAAACACCTAATTCTCACTTGTGAGATTTAGTTCTATCAAACTAATTCTGATTGTAGTTGCAATTATGAACGTTAAGTTGCACCCAACCGATTAAGATTGAATTTTTGGATGCAGAACAAAATGAAGATATCGGAGCAACCATTAAGTTTCATAAAAAATGATTGTAGACAATAAAATTCATGTCCAGAACACAATAATCAAGAACGGAAAATAATTGCCATAATTGTATTTATTGATTTCAAAGTGCGAATATTACAATTTCTATTATTCCTCGGATTCGTCTTTTTAGATAGGGGAAATGCATAAGTACCCCCAGCCTATGCCCAAAATCTCTGAGACACACCTAACCTTTACTAAGGTCCTATTACCCCCGAACTTATTTTATATATAATTTTTTACCCCTTTTCAGCCTACGTGGCACTATCCTTGTAAAAATTGTCAACACGCGCTGGGCCCACAAGATAGTGCCACGTAGACCAAAAAGGGGTAGAAAATCATATATAAAATAAGTTCGGGGGTAATAGGACCTTAGTAAAGGTTAGGTGTGTCTCAGGGATTTTGGGCATAGGCTGGGGGGGGGGGGGGAACTTATGCATTTTCCCTTTTAGATATAAATTCAAGGGCACATGAGCTTGTTCTTGAATTTGTTCTTTAACTTGAACTTGGATTCAAGGGCTTTGGAACGTTTTCTTGAATGTTTGATGAACTTTAACTTTATTTTGATCTTGACTTTTACTTGAATTCAAGAGCTTCGAGCTTGATCTTGAATCTTGTGGTCTTGATGGTTCTTGAACTTGAATGTTTGAATTTTAAACTTGTAGCTTGTTGAGAAATCGGTGGCTTTTTGATCCACAAGTTCTCTCAGGCTTCTTGTTAGAATTTTGGTCTCTTTTCTAAATTATGAGGACCCCTATTTATAGTTTTAGAATAGAGGAGTTGTGATAGGAATAGGTTTCCTTCGGCCAATCAGATTTAAGTGACATGACATATATGCTTAATTATGAGGTGGGCTTGTCATCTTTGACACGTGGCATGATCCCATTGATCAACTTCTTTGTTTGACTAGGCATGCCACATCATTTTCCACGTGACATCAAAATGAGCCTCTAGGATGAGATGACATTCGACTTAGCAAATTGGGTCCATCTAGTGTAGCCTAAATCACTTAATTTAGACTTGAATTAAATTCATATTTGTTGAATTTAAATAAATAACCCAATTATATTAATCCATAATATTTATTTCGTCTAATAAATTCATGAATTTAACATAATCGAATAATTTTATAAATTTATATAATGATTACAATGATCAAGAGCACAAAGTTTGAAATCTTAAAAGGTCAATTTATAGACATAAACAATTATCCAGGCAATATGATTTTGTAGATTATCCTAAAGATTTTGTAGCATTATCTCTTTAGGTGGGTGATATACAATTAGTTGATCATAGGACTTTGTATAGGGTATTGAGGAGCTAAATTTCCGTCAATTTTGAAAAGAAAGACACGGGAGAATACATTCTTTGATTTAAAATTCACAGAGATTACTCTACGAATCTAATCGTTATGTCACAAAGTTAGATATAGTAAGTCATTTTAATATGACAGTAAAAAGTATCATTCATACATACATACATTATTAGACACAAAAGTTAGTCCAAACATTCTATACAAAAAATCCTTTTCCTTGCTTTGCTTCAATTAATCAACTGCCGTTATCTGTTTCCAACATGGAATTTGTAATATAACAAGCAATGTCTGAGAATAAAACTAGTGATATTTTATAAGTGAAACCTACACTTGAGCTTAATTAAATCAGCATATATGTTACTAGATTAAGTTCCCCTGCAACTTTGGCCGAATTCATGTGGTATAGTTAATAACAGATATATACAGGATGGTATATATGAGTCGCTCGCTACTTTGAAATAAGTATGATACAAAATTAAAAACAATGAGCCAAAAAACTCAATTACATTGAGAGTTGAGAAATTTTCATCGTTCTCGTGGGGATTTTGTACCTTCTGAAATACGAGAGGCGTGTTTTGTCCTAACACTGCCTGGAAATGCAGATTCAGATTTGTGTCGAGACTTGGACATCTTTTTTCGATCCCCCAATGGACGACCAGACATATATTTTGAAGGAAGCTGTTCTAAAGCACTCAGCACAAATGACATATCTGGTCTTCCCCTTGATTCAGGATGTACACAATGCAATGCTAGAGTGGCTGCTATTGTAGCTGCTTTTCGAGGATATTGCCCTTCTAACTTGGTGTCGATAATCCTGAACAACTTTTTCTTGTCATGCAAGTAAGGCGTTGCCCACTCTATCAGATTTTGCTCTGCACCAGCCTTCCTTTTGTCCATTACATGACGACCAGTAAGAAGCTCAAGTAAAACGACCCCAAAGCTATAAACATCACATTTGGCAGTTAGTTTACCTGCTAAATAGAAAAACACGGGGTCAAACTAGCAGGCAATGATATAAAGTAACATGTCACGGACTTAGAGTCTCATTAATGTTCCGTGCGGCACTATTAGAATTCTTTAGTTGAATGAAAATAACTAAACCTGTAGCAAGATATTCAGGAGCAGTATATCCTTGAGTACCCATAACTTGAGTAGACACATGAGAATGATCACCAGTTGGGCCAGATTTTGCCAAGCCAAAATCTGAAAGTTTTGCATTAAATTCCTACACCAAAAGAAAATGAATATCAATCATCAAGTACCCATCCACCCACCAAACAATCAACATATTAACCCATGAAAGAAAAAAAAGTAATTCTTGAGCATATATACCGAGTCTAAAAGGATGTTAGAAGCTTTAAAGTCACGATATATAACTTGTGGTTCCACATCATGCAAAAACAAAAGACCTCGAGCAGCAGCTATAGCAACTTTAATCCTTGTTGCCCAGGGAAGAACTGGTGCACTCTCTGCAAACCGCACAATTTCAGATCCATAAACTTGATCTTTAAAGAACACCTCATAGTTTTGTTATTTCATCTATAAAATGTCAAATATTGGCTAAACATAGATTCCCTTGCCCATCCAAACAGAGGCGTATCCAGAATTTTGAGATAATGGTGCACTGTTATATAAAAGTTGATCTAAATTTAATCGGTTCGACATTTAGGTTTTTACTACTAAAAATCGTTAAAATTTTAAAATTATAGGTCTAAAATTTATTCTTATATACCAATTACCATTTAGAGAACTGTTATCTAATTTTAGAAAGAAAAATAAAAAAAGATAAATATAAAATTCAACTTTCTAACCTCGCGGAGAGAGGTGCACCCAGTCATAATCGCATTATGTGATACTTGAAGTGTGGGTTCACGCATCTATATTTCAATGTTTTCTTAAAATTATAACACTACTATATATGATTTCAGGAGGAGACCATGGGTTCACGTGAACCCGGTGACCCCCCTTTAGATACGCCTCTGCATCCAAATGCAACAATTTTGGATGGATTAGATTTTAAGTGAAGTGGATTTGGACAAAATTTTGAAGATAATTGAAAGTGTAGAATCAATAGTATCAAGAATAATTGAAAGAAATATGAAAATAAAGACTCACTTGGAAACAAATGGTTCTCCAAGCTCCCTCTTGGCATAAATTCATATACTAAAAGCCGGTTTTCACCTTCCAAGCAGAATCCAATGAGCTTGACCAAATTTGGATGACGAAGTTGTCCAAGATAATTCACTTCTGACTATAGGAAGAAACCAGTTAATAGACTTAAAGGGTTGGGGTGGGGGGGAATTAATAGGAAAAAATGACGAAAGAACGTACCAGCCACTCCTTATGACCCTGCAAACCTCTCGGCTTGAGTTTTTTTACTGCAACTCCAAGTCCTGATCCAGGTGTTGCAGCAGTAAGAGTGTCGTTGCATAGCCATCCCTTATAAACATAACCAAATCCTCCTTCACCAAGAAGGCAATCAGAATGGAAATTGGTGGTAGCTTTTGCAAGTTCAGAGAGCAAAAGAGCTCTTAGATAAGGAGACGATAATATTTCACTCTCAGACCTTGGACTTGGTACAATCCCTGTTCTCTTTTTCCTACTAGAATTCTGGTTTGAGACTGTTGGAACAGGTAAAGGGTGACTGCAATCTGTGCCTCCTGAATAGTATGCAAATTCTGAACAAACATGTCAGCCTGAATTGGTCACATAATAACTCAATTTTTTTTATCCTTAGCTAAACACACTATAATGACCACAAAGATGTGTAAATACCACAATTTGTTAGTCATGAAAAAGATATGAGATACCCATCCATGAGTGTACACACATTTTACATTATTTTCTAACAATTAGTTAAGTCAGTCCTCAATATCCATTTTGTAAAAAAATGAAAACAAATCAAAGCATTGGATTGGAAAAGAAAACTGACATAAAATAAAATATATATAATAGAAAAAAGAGAATAATACCAGTGGAGGTGGGAAACGTCAAGGTTCCAGCGTTAGGAATTCCTGCAACTTGGTCCCGCGCACGGACGCAGCAGGTTATCCAGTTGCCCATATACACCCACAAATAATTAGTATTAATCAATATTTGGTGAAGATGAAGAGAATTCATTCAACCCAAAATCTCATTATTTTCTGCACTAATAATGAGAGGTTACCTGAAGCTGCGGTTGTGCGATATTAACGCCAAACATGTAAACGGTCAAACCTGACTTGGACGCCACGCCATATATATCTTCTTTCTAGACTCTACTATCATATCACCAAAAAACATCCTTTTAACTTCCACGTAGTACCATACTTTTATTTTTTTAAAACAATTTTTTTTTCGGGATAATACCAAAATTGCACTAATTTTTCAAGAACCATATTAGGGAATAAGACATGTTTGTAGTTTTAATTTGATGATTGACAAACTAAACTATGATCCATTGATTAGGGAAATTGTTCGGAAATAACTCAACATATATTTTACTTTTGATAATTGACGGTAGTGAATCAGGTTGAGACCCTTGATATGATTACGGGTTGATGAGTTTACTTATGCTTAAGGCGAATCCAGGATTTTAAGAAGATGGAGGGAAAACAACCTAATATACCCCTCAACATTGTGGTTAAGAGTTCATATACACCTCGTTTGAAAGTGACTCACATGTATAATGTCATACAAATGGCTCACATATACTCTTTTCCTCTAACAAATACAAAAATAAATTTATGTACGGGTATATTTGATCCTTTTCATATTTTTTTTTTACTTTTTTTATTCAACGACTAATTTGAGTTTATTATTTTAATGGTCAAATTTATTTTTTTCACTAATTTTATTGTAAAAATTTATCATAGATGCCCCAATTTTTTTTTATAGATACAAAAACTAAATTACAATATAGGCGCAAGAAATAATATTTAAACTACAATGTAGGGGCAAAAAAAAATATTTGAACTACAATGTAGCCGCGAAAAAATTGTTCTAAAATATTTTCTTATTTTTTTCACTTTTTCCATTCACACTTCTTTCTTTTGATTTCTCTTAGTTTTACACTAAAGTGAAAGAAAAAACAAAGAAAGAGGAATAAGAATCTCAAAAATTGTTAATTAAATAATTCAAAAAATAATTCATGTGTGAAATTGATCAAATATACCTCTACATGGATTTTTTATAACTAAAAGTAAAAAAATAAATTTAAAATTAAGTTTTTCACTTACGCCAAATGAAAAGGGTATATATGAGCCATTTTTGTAACGTGAGGACATATTTGTGCCACTTTTATAACGAGGATATATCAACTCTAAATAATAAAATTTTGTGTGTAGGTTGGGGGGGGGGGTTATATCATGCCATTTTCCCAAAATTTTATAAAGATAATAAATTAGTGAGCAAAAGAGAAGACCTAGTTTAATTGAAATATATTTTCTTCTATGTTATGCCTTACTAATTAAAGTTGTAAAGACATTACTTTAATATAACAAAATAGACCTTTTTTTTTGTTTAGAAAAAGGGAAGATTGAGCACTTGCTGGGATTCAAACAAGCAACATCAATCTTGAAAAGAGGGACTCAGATCAGTGAACCATCTGGCCATTTTGGGCATGAGTTCCTTTCGCTAATATTTAATATATTTTTAAGAATTATACAAATAATATATTGAATTTAGTCGGATGACCACAAATTTCGATGACCCAAAATTTATACCTAAATTCGCCCCGGCTTCCGTGGCATATAGGAATGCATAATAAATCATTGAAAAGAAGCTAATGCAAGAGGAGTCCTCGTCCAAAAAGACTTTAGCTAATTATGGGAAGAAGTCTATGTTTGTAAGGTTTTCATAACAAAGTTTGTTTTATACAAGGAAAACGAGGATGCAAATTAGGGTACAAGAATTGTACTATATATGTGAAAAAAGACACGCTGCACCTTTTTGCAGGCACAAATCAGAAAAATCGCAAAGGCAAGAAAGGTTAGAAGGCGAAGATCGAAGATTGGAACTCAAGCGATTACATGGTGATAGTTTGGTGTTAAAGTTAGTTCTTGTAAAAGGAGTATTTACTGAGTTGTAATAGTTTATATTAATTCTTGATATTGCAGTTGATGTTGTTCTAGGGTTATTATCGAGTTGTAATAATTTCTAGATTGTAGAGAGTAGCTGTGTGTAGATCTGTAACAAGAAGCGAGTTTGAGTTCTTGAAATATACTTAGAACAGTTTGAGAGAACTGTTGAGTTGAGGTACCAAAGTTAGTCGCTTAGATAGTTGAGTTGAGGATCTTCTCCACCATTTTAATTTTTTTAAACTTATGACAAAACAAAGGAGAAAAAAAGGAGGAAAACAACAAGGACATTCATAAAGGAATGATTAATTCAATACACGATAATGTAATAACGTTTTTTTTGTGTATCCAAAATTCAAAATAAATGAACCAAAAAAATATTTTCTTTTATCCCCACCCCTACCCCACCATGAAAATAATATAAATTAAAAGATTATGAACATGTATCAAGAGATTTAAAAAAGAATAGAAAGAAGGAATGACAAGTCAAATGGATATTTAATAGAAAATTTTACATTAATAAAAATAATAATCTTATTTTAGATGGAAACACGAAGTTTAGATGGATCCCAAGTTATGAGTTGGGTTATAATAATTTGGATATTGCTTTAATTATCAGAGAAGGACCTAAAATGCCCCTTAACTATTTGAAACTGTACAAAACAACCCTTCATCCACCTTCAGTTCCCAAATACCCATTACGTCAATCTTTTGGCTCAAAAATGCCGTCGATATTAACCATTTGTCTCATATTTGCCCTTATTTTCAACAAGTATTCCCTAAAGTAAAATAATTAAATATTTATTTATTATGTTGCATAGTCTGATTGGTCCAAATTTAATTCATTATCAAATAAATAATAAAAATCACATATAATTCATATTCTGACCCGATACACTTGAAAATAAAATTTTAAAAAATAATTAATTTCATGATATCTATCTATAGGCCTATTTTGAAGCAACAAAGAGACCTAAAATGCCCCTCAACTATTTGAATTGGTACAAAACTACCCTCCGTCCACCTTTTGGCCCCCAAATACCTCAGACGTCAACTTTTGACTCAAAACTACCCTTGTTTCTAACGGCCCACACTCACAAGGTGGATGAGAGGGCAATATTAGGGTCCTTTTCCATTAAAATAATTTGAAATTACTTAACATATGGACTCATATGATTGACCTAATTTTGTGTTCCACAGTAAAATCACATCCCCTCTCTCCATTTTTTTCTTCTTCTTGGATCTCACTACTAAAAAATTGCCAATAATTGACAACCAAAAGCGACGAGTTGTGTCATTTTTTGGTCAAAATCGATGAAAAAGCGACACAGTCACTTCAGTTGCTTTTATCCTCAACGCTTTTTCAAAAGCGACGGGACTACATCGCTCCAAAACGACAAATTTTCTCATATTGATTGTTTTTTTTTGAAGAAATTGACATTTTGATCGGTCCTCGAATACCCCTTACGTCAACCTTTTGGCTCAAATATGCACTCCATATTGATCATTTGTCTCATATTTCTCTTATTTTGAATAATTGTTCCCTAAATTAAATAATTAAATATTTAATTATTATTTATGGATGGAAAGTCAATGTTATGCAAAATTCCATAATTTAAGGATATTTTAGGAAATCCTTTTACATGGTGGAATGTCAGGCTAAATGATGATTGTGTTTTCAAAAGACTAAATAAAGTGGTAATTAATCAATCATTATTAGACCTTTATGGTGATATTGGTTTACAACACTTATCTAGAACTGGATTTGACTATGATCCACTACGCATGTCTTGTGGCTTTAGTAATATTCTTGTAGTTAAGCCTTTCAAATTCCTGAAATTATGGTCTGGAAGAGAAGATTCCAAAGAAGTGGTTTGTCAAAATTGAATTGCTGAAGCTGAAGGTGAAATTTTTATCCAAATGAAACACGAAAAGAAGAGAACAAAGGTGGCATAATCTAAATGGAGTAAAGAGAAGTTTGGAGATATTTTTAAACAGTTGGCTATTAGGGAAGACATTGTAAGAATTAAAGAAGATTTGTTCCAGCAAGATCCTAATCCTATCAATAGAGTTGTTCTGCAACTCGTGTTGAATTGAAACTATATCTTCATTATGAAGAGGAGTTCTAGAGGCAGAAAGTTAGTGCCCAATGATTTATTGAAGAAGATACAAATACAATTTTTTTCCACTGTCTTGTTAAAGGAAGAAGGAAGAGGATGAAACTTAACAAAATTAATAAGGTTGATGGATCTTAGGCTAAAACTGTTGATGAAATAGCTTTTGAACGCGTCTATTTTTCCAAAGATCAGTTCTTCGGAAGGAGTTTTTTGAAAACATGACATTGTTGCAGTACATTCAACGTATGATTACTCAGGGGGAAAACGATTTTTGATGGTTTTGCCAAATGAAGAGGAGATTTAAAAAGTGGTGTTTGAGCATAATTATAATAGTGCTTGTGGACCAGATGGCATGACAAACTGCTTCAACCAGACTTGCTGGGATATAGTAGGCCCTAATGTTATTAAGATAATTCATGCTTTTTTTCCAGGGCCCTACTTTACCAAAGTCTATTACTCATATTAATCTAGTCCTAATACCAAAAAAGTAAGTGATACAATCCTTTTCTTATCTTAGGACAGTCAGTCTGAGTAATTTCTGAATAAAATTATTTTTAGACTTGTTCATGATAGAGTAGAGAGATTCCTTCCAAGGTTAATCTCTCACAATCAAACTGATTTTGTTAAGGGTAGAAACATTACTGAGAATGTGTTACTTGTGCAAGAAATTTTGACTAATATCAAGAAAAGAGGCTGACCAGATAATGTGGTAATTAAATTAGATATGACCAAAGAATATGATAGAGTAGATCGGAGGTTCCTAATTAAGGTTCTAGGAAAATGAGTTTTGATGTTGTATTTATGGATATGATTTGAAAGATTATTGCTAACAACTGGTATTTTGTGTTGAGTAATGGTCAATCTTATGACTTTTTCATTCTACAAGGGCTGTGATACAAGG